AACTGAAATTGGCAACTTGCGCTGGGTAGACAATGAAATGGGGCTGTTCATTAAAATAACTTTCATTTAACAGTCCGTCTGCATTTAGTGAGATACAATGGATTATTTTTAACACAGTCTCCGTGCATCTTTTTTAAATACTCTTTGTTACTGCTTTAAAAAATAGCCTTGAAAATAGAGCTGGGATCAGCTGGTTCAGGCACTTCTTAGAAGACAGATATTTGGGGGAATTAGCAGGTTTTTGAAAGTTAATTGTAATAAAGGGATAAAGATGAAGATGGAAGGGATAAACATATCTGACATACAGAAAATAACACAGAAAATCCCAGGAGCATTGGCAAAAAAGAGTAAATTGCCTCAAGCTATTGCTTGAAACTTAGAACAAATACCTCTGGTCTCAGGAAGACACATTTTAAATCTGTTCACAATCTAAACACAGTGGTTAAGAAGGGTGCTCTAGCCTCATGTCTGTAATCAGTAAAAGCTTATCACCTATGCTATATTCAGAAAAAGGAAGAATTCACTCGTTCTTGTCATCTTGTTCGTCCTTCTCCACTTGTCGTGCTGGTCCTGATTTTGTTCCTTGCTGATCTTTCAGGCTGCATAGTTTCCCTTTCAGCATATTTATCTATTAGAGCACTTTCTAAATAGGTCACATATTTTGTGAGCTTGGGGTTGAACATACAATCTTCTACGTAGTCAGCAAACATATAACAGCCATGAGCAGGAAATTTTAAAAGATGCTTAAGCTCAAAAAAAAAAAAAAAACCAAACCAAAGAAAAGAAATCCCAACTAATTTGCATGCCAGCCAAAAGCCTGGGAATCTTCTTACTTTCACGTGGAAAATCTCATCTTTCTGCCATCTTTCAAATTACCCTCTTGGATTCATTTCCATTGGTTAGCATTTTCCTAATAAAGGATTATTTATTTCTGATCTGGTGCCTGACCTTTTTTTTTTTTTTTAAGAAAAAAAAATAACGCCACAACATTCCCCAACCCGAACAGGAAGTTTATACAAGAAACAGTATCTCACATGACCTTTAATTGATTTCAGCCTTTGTCCTTCCTCTGTGACAGGGCTGCAGCCTTAGGCTCGCTCCATCCCTGTCCCGTCTCCTTGCGGGCCCCATCCCAGGCTTCCTGGGACGGCTCCTGAGGTGGATCTCCATAACTGAGCAGGGTCTGGCCCTGCCTCGGACTGTGGCTGGCACCTGCTATTTGCCGCGGTCGGTCTGTGCTCAGGAGCACAGGCTTTTTTAACTTGCCAGAAAGTGTTCCTATTGCAGCCTGGTCCCCCAGACAATTCTGCTGAATGGAGGAAGGCTCTCTCAGCTGACGGGTTATTTACTTGATTTACTTTCCCTGGATTCGGACCCTGAACAAAATTGCTTTAACAAGTCTCAAATATTTGTGAAGTTGCTTTACTTCAGCTCTACTTCTTCTTTATTTTTCCATATAGCTGTGCCAACAAATTTACACATTAAATGTCCCAATAACCAGGCCAACACACAACAGTAATGAATAATTACAACAAAGCTTTGATTCCAGAATCCCTTTTTACTCCTGCCCTCTATTTACTGTCGCTACTAACTCAAGCATGAGAGGCAGACTTTAAGACGGTTTGCAGGATTTGTCTTCATATACTAAAATCCGCTAAGTTAGGACCAAATTTTCTTAAGTTTTTCCTAAACCTAAGACATATCTATGGTGCCAATACTCAACTAATAAGTAATCTTCAAAGAGGCTTATGCGAATTCTGCAAAAGGTAGGATTTCTGAATTCCAAAATCTACTTTGCTATGTGTAGACAAGAGTGTCTAAAGACCAACTGAGGGAAAAAATGTTATGTGAAAAATATTATGAGCTTTAAATAGTCAGTTAACAAGATTGTCCTAGATAATTACTGACAAGAAGATTTACATTAGACAACAAGATTTACATTATCCGAGTTGAATAAACACCCATTGTTTAATGCATCTGTCAGTACTAGTCCTTTCTTGCTAGTATTTTCTAAAGGCAAACAAAATGTGTATTATCTATGGAATACATAGCATAACTTCAAAAACCAGCTGATAATACAGAAGTCTATAAACTTCTCTATAAAATTATATAGAAGTCTATAAAATTCTTACATGCCACATTTTTGTCTAATTCCCATTGCGCAGTTGTCTTGACTAAACTATCAGTAATATCTAAAGTTTATATGTCCCTTGTGGATAAAACTTTGTAAGATCATATCCTAAAATTTTACTACAGAATTAGAGATGGTCACCTTCAGTGGGTGATGTATCTCATTCTGGGGGATGGATCACCCTCTGGAGGTGACTACTGCTCTTCAGTGACCAGGGAGGGTACCTAAATCACTAGGTGAGATGTGTTTTTCCTCATATTAACTCTAAAATTATAGCCCAGAATTCCAAGTTTCTCATTATTTATTCAGGTAGAAGTTCCTTTGTTGTGCACTTTCCTTGCACAGGTAGATTTCCAATCTGTTCAGACATTGTGTAGCTTTTAGGACAGGTTTTACAGATTCTGCTTAGAATTCTCATAGCCCCCGTAGTTCCTTCAGCATTATTCTTGCTTAAAAATCAATCTCCTTTTTTTATCAGATTTCAAAATGAAAAAGAAAGAAAACCCAGTAATTTAATACTCCACATTTTTTTCATACAGCCGAAATGAACATTTTGCTCAGTGCTCTACTTTCACATTATATCTTCATATAGCTTACAGAAACTGTTACAGGAGAGTCTTAACCATTTTTTCATCTCATGAAAGGAACTAACTCTATAAAACCCCTTTTGTTTGTCATCATTTCATGAAATTCCTATTGTTATTGCAAATTCATCACATCAGGATATTGAACTAGGGCACTAATGTCCCAAATAATTTTACTTATGTTAAATAAATAAATTTATTGTCGAGATTATAATTTTTCATGTGTCTGTCATTTGAGAGCTCCCTCATTATACACTAATTTACAGACTATAATACATTATAGCTCAAATGGAGGCTGACTGATGTTATACCAACTGAGGAATGGGGTTTACACCTGAGAGTCAGATTTATTTGTGCAGGGGTGGATGTGGACGAGTGGATGAGTATGCTTTCAAATATGAAGATATTTGTATGTGTATATATTGCAGATGTACCTCCTTGAAAATGATGGAAATAAAGCAGACCACAGAAAAGAGAGAATATCAAGTGCTATTATGCTAAATAACATCTGCTCTTGCCTTCGCTGCAGAGACCAAGTACTTCAACAGTGAAGTTAATACGCTGAGGATAGCCATTAGCTAAGCTGTTTTCTTTTCAATAGCAAGCAAGGTTTCAGGAGGAACCGGGTAATGGTGTGGGAGAGTTCCTAAGGTTTCTAGACAGGGCAGGACAGCTTGTGCAAACACAGCCTCTCTTTATAGCCTGGGAACGATTTGAGATTCCCCACCCTTTCTATTAGGAGGAAATTACCACTGCCAGGCCACAACAATGCGGATAAACACCAGCGCCTAGAGCCTGCGTAACTCAGGTAAACACAGGGCTTCCTGACGTGATGGAAACCACTGGGCACTTCTTTCAAGTCATTCTTCTTACACAGTGTCAGATGTGAGTGTTTAAACAGTCAGCATTTCCTCAGTGAAATACTTATTCTTTCGGCCAGTTAGGCTGGGGTAAGTTTTCTATGTTTTCAGGAGTAATCTCTTTAATGTAGGCTTCTGGATACTTGTTTGAACAGTCTAGAGCAAAATGGCACCTGGTTTGGAAATATGTCTTGGGATATTTTACAGGACCAAACTACTATTTACACACAAGTTTCTTGAAATCCACTGGATTTTAAAGCAAGTTCATATTAGAAGCCCAAACTCACGGTGACAAAGAGCCAAGCAGTGGTCAAGTGTGGAAGAAAGAAGAGTATGTCTACTGAGTCCACATTTAAATGGAGCAATGAGTTTGAGCCCTGGGAATACACTCAAGATATTGGTCCCTTGATCACTCAGACTGGGAACTTTGCCTGAATAAACTCTGTTTGTCTATTATCACATGCATCTGAGTTTGAAGGGCAGGAGTGTGAGTGGAGCAGGGGTAATATAGCCCTGGTGCTTACCTGGCATGGTGCTTAGACTTCGTTGAGGTACCTACCTGGAGCTGGAAATTGCTACCAAGTCTACCAGTTTGGACACAAGAAAGAAGTCAAACTCCTTTCTGTCTGTCTCTCTCTTGTCCACAAGCCCTCTCAACCACTTCTTTAACATTCAAACTTCCAAAACAGAGCTTTGTGTTGGCCCTCTGCATGGGAGAGTGATTTTCATTCCTAATGCCTGGCAGTCACAAATACAGACTCTGGCACTATCAAAGAAAGCCTGGCAACAATTTATATGAATACTAAATAAAGCTATTAAAGATGTAGTTGGGAATCAATCCAAAAGTCACACAATGTATAACAGGCAATTAGATGGCCATTAGCGATTAAAATGGAATTGTCATCTCTACTTGGTACTAAGGTAAAGAGCCATGTATTTCCATCCTGGGTAAGTCTCTCCAAGGTATTGGCACATGTGAGCCCAAACTATATTTCTGATATGGTCCAGAAGATTTGTAATATCTGGAATGGATTCAAAATCTGCAATTATAGCAAAGTGCACACTTCAACCATGTCAGGAAACCTCTAATCATAACATAACAGAAAGTAACAGGAAGTACAGAGGTGACCAACAGATAAATGAGGTGTTTCTTAAAAAATTATGAACCCAATGGCACATATCTAGAAAACGGAATTCCTTCTTGTCTTTTTTAAATACATCTTTTATGATTGCTATGCAATTGCAGCTGGTGTATTTGGCTACCCCAGCATTACTTTTCACATTGCCCATTATCAGAGTATTTAAGAGCTGGTTATCCACTAGCTTCCTTCCATATCCATTTCTACAGTATGCAGCCATTGGAATAATTTCTCAGTTTGGCTAGTTGTCATACCTCATTTTTTTCTTTCAGCTTTGTGATCATAACAATGACAGGGCTGTCTTCTTGCCAAACCATCTGCCAGAAATCATTCACGGTATTAATCATGGGTCCCTGAGTTGCAATGAAAGCTTTCTCTTTACCTCCATATCCCTGGTTTAGAAACAGACACAAAAGCATTTACTTTAAATTCACGTGGTAAACCAAAATTGCAGGTCAATGTTCTAAAAGAGCAGAAAAAGGAATCTGGAATTAAAAATACCCCAAACATTATTTGAACTGAAAGCAGGTATGACTAACAGTAGAGCAGACCAGAAAATTTTCAGTAGAACAGGTTTTCCTCTGGAAACTACTGATTCGATGGACTGAAATGGTCCTGAGAATATATCAATTGCTCTCACATTTCCTTGTTTACTTGGCTTCTTCTAGCTTACTCTGTTCTCCAAGTTGTTGAGGCTTCCCATCATCCAGTGGTACTTTAATCCATTTTTTATATTGCTGCAGAGTTTACAAGATAGTTTACAGTCAACAAGCCACAGGAAAAAAAAAAAAGAGAACTATAAAACTGATTTCTACAAAGATTCATGACAGGAAAAAAGATTTAAAATACATGAATGCTTGTGGAGTCAAAGACTGTTCTGCATCTTTGCAAAGGGAGAAGTGCCTGTAAGAGACCTTGTAGGAGGAACAGTATATCAATATAGGGAGTCCCGAGACACATAACTGTATAGGAGATTGAAAAAAGATCAGGTAAACAGTGGGGAAGCAGAAGGGAGGGAAAGGCAAGAAGAAATGGGAAAAAACAAGAGATCACCTTCTTATTTTTTGAGTGAGAAGGAGAACTTGTGAATTTGTGCAGTGACAGGGTGCCCAACAGTAATGCAGATCAGGAGAGCCTGGCAATGTCGGAAGGGCGTGAGTGGATGGAGAATGGCTGGAGGTGGTGCTAAAGGTCTTCCTTTTGGGTGCCTTTCTCCCTGACAGCTGTTAGTCACTGTGTGAACCAATGGGACAGATCCCCAGCTGGTATAAACAGTTCTCCTGCTACTCACCTCTCTGCCTGAACATACTTTGTCGAAGACCGGTGTGTCAGGATGCTAGCGAGCCTAATGATATTGCATATATGGATGTGGCATTTCATTTCATCACTGGGTTGGATTTTTTTCTGCAGTTGCTGACTGCAATTCAACCAATGTTAGCAACAGAGGAAACCACTGTATGTTGGTCTGAAGGGTGGTGGCGGGGGAAAAGGGAGATCTCAGGGGACTCAAAACATGGCCTGGCTGATGGAAGAGTTGCTCTCCAAAGAGAACTGCTCCGCTTAGTTACATGATGATGTCTTTCGTACAAAGCACTGAAAGTACAGGAGGCAAAGTGAGGCAGGGCAAGGGGCATCAGGGACGTATACGTATATATTCATGTACTGTTATTTAAATAGGCAACATCATTGTAGAGCTCTGGGGCTCAATTTCAGGTGCACTGTTACAGTTATTCCAGCTGAGGATCTGGTGCATAACTCTATTCTAAGCCTACATTTAATTTTGCGGGTAGAGGACTACATGCCTAAAACATGACTGAAGTACTTTCTGAGTAGTCTATTCAGCATACACTTTGCCACGAGTTCGAGAAGTCTCTGTGTGTGCATGTGTGTGTGTGTGCATGTGAGATCGAGGATTATAACATAACTGACACTTAGAAATACTGCTTATCCACAGTGTTCGTGCTGGTAAATACTTTGTATCATGTAACCATTCAATATAGGGAGTAAATATGTGAACGAGTATGTGTGCTGGTGCACATGTGTATATATATTTAACACATCTGTTTGTACTCCTTTTCACAAACTCGTTACAGCATTTATTTAATTACTTAACTGATGATTTCAGGACTATCAATTGACATAGTTATGCATGAAAAAACTCATTACTACTGAATTTGTTTGTGGATGACTGCAACAAGCAACCATGCAGCTTATATTGCAGTTGACTCTGATCTTTTCTTTACCAACACACTGGTATCTCTGTCACTATTAAAAGTAGCCCTATTTTCATTACTATAAGGCAGTAGGACAATATTAAAAGTTAAATACTGGAGTAAACAGAAATTGTAACGCATGTGTTTCTTAATGTTTTTAATAAACTATTTGATAAAATGTTTTTCTTACTGCAACCATTTTAGTACATTCATGGCTATGTGGTCTTTGTTACAAACAGCTTATGAAACTATTTCTATGACACAGACAAAAAGATTAGGATTTATCAATGAAGATGGGTAGGAATAAAATGAGTGACACCTTGGCAAAATCAGCTCTTTATGTGGAAGATAAAATATTGTCTCAAAAGCACATGAAGAGTGTACGTTTACTTACCCTAATGTAGTTAGCATTTATGTAGGTACTCAAGGAGTCAGATGGATTTTTTGGTTTCAAATACACTCTGCTTAGAGGATCTAAGAGCACAAGGAAGATGGAAATTGAAAAGAAAACCCATAATTAGAAGATTTCTATAGAGAATCAAAGACTTGTTGAAGAAAATAATCTACTGTTATTTGGGGTTGACAAGCACTAAAGCATTTTGCATGAAATTCTTCCCTCTGCAAAGGATTATCACGTGTAACTAAGGTACATCCATAGTGCACAATGCTGGGCTGTGTAGGAGTATCTTAGCAAGCTGTGAACATCAAAGCAACACTATCAGGTCCAGGCAATGGTCAGCAAGGTCTAGCCTGCCTGTGTCGAGTATCAAGCTGACCTCCCAGACTGCCTCTGAAACCTGTGTTGTATCATTGCATGGTGCTGGATAATTACACCAAGTCCTTTGGATTCAACTTTGATCTTTGCCTGAAGCTGTACTGTTCCAATGAGTACAGCTGGGTTTAAATCAAGAAAAGCTCCCTCTACCTGAGATGAAATCAGCTATGTGTTTTTATACCAATTTAAGTAAGTTCACTGTAAGGGGCTGGACTCGTAATCCATATCCTTCCCCTAATCCTGTGTTCTCATTTGACACAATTTGTGACCATTCATGTGTACTAGACTGGAGACGCAATGCCAAAATACAGGAACATTTTCCTTCATGCTCTTCAATCCTTCACTGTCTTGGATGATCTAGAATGGAGTAGGGGCCAGTTCTGTTGAGTATAGAGCTGGGGGTTACTAAATGCCTCCTGCAAAGGAAATTTTTGCTTGCTCATTTGTGATAATGTGATCCTCCATGTACTACCCTTTTGAAATTAAAGCCAGCAAATTCTCAATTACACAGCATAACAGAAAGGGATAAGAAGGGGACAGAGGTGCCTAAGTTGTGGCTGTCCAGGGGCACACTTTGATTTTCTTCACAACTTTCTGAAAAAATATTCTGCTGTTAAAAAAATGATAAGGAAATATTTCTGTACTGAAAAAAAATCTTTTATTCTGGCAATTTGCTTAATTAATTAGAATAATCAGCTTTTTGACAGTATACACCTATTGGTTTGGAAATAGTCTCTGGATAGTTGCTTTGCTGAATGCAATCTAGGCAATGTGTTCAAAGATACATATGTGGATGCTGACCTGGAGAGTGGTAAGAAAACACTATTTGTTATGTGGCCTTGCTGTTTACACAATAAATATATAATTGATGTACATATGCTGTAGCAAAACCTGGTGTTTTCAGAGTTGCTTTTGGATTTCTTGTGTGACTTTTCATCCTGTTCCTAGGAACAAGATAAAACATTTGCAAATCAAAGGAAGAGGAGGGATGATCCCAAACATACTTTATGTTCTTTTCCCACCGGAGGTCACAGGAGCATCTTGGACAGGAGCGGAGCCTTTGCAGGACCGCAGGCTTGTGTTTTGAAAGTCTGTTCCTTAAAATGTGCAAATGCAGGCCTGACTTCTAGTTCAAAGCCTGCGCATACAAGTCTTGTCCTCTGCGTTAATAGCACAGCATGAACCCTAGTTAGCTTGTGCTAAAAATCTCTTTGTACTAGCTTTCCCAACTTTTTGACTTAGAGGTGTTTTTTTTTTTTTTTTTCTCTTTAACAATATGAGGACAGGAAACCTCTCATTCCTTTTCAGCACAGAGTGATTATTAGCCATTTCCACAAATGCCTCGGGCTACGTGGCCTTGAAAAAACACCCGCTTCCTTTAGCTCACACAATGCCTCTGATTCTGGTGTAGCTTGACCCCTACCTTAAAAAACCTCTTCCAAGCAGACTCAACATCCAGTTTAATTACCATGCCTTGGGATAAATCCCTCTGTTACTAAGGAGAACCTAAATCAGTTTCACAATTTCTGAGACTTCCTTCCAACTCCAATCAACTAAAAAAACACTGCTTCTGAATGGGAGTCTTTTATAAATTAATAGTCTTGATCAGTTATGAAATAGGTGAGTGCTGTAAACTCAGCTCTGAAAAAAGGAAAACCTGAGCGCTGCTAAAGATCCGGAGCCACTAAGCAATCATCAGACACAAATAGCAGTAATTAGCTTCCTCCCGAATGACAAATACCTTGGAGGTAATAATCTCCTCCTCAAGGATGGCAAAGTCTGAGAGTCTGAAGCTACAGCAGAAAGACACAGATGGTGGCTGCAAGGCTGAATTCATCAATGTTTGTAAAGCATCCTGAAACGCAGCAGAGCTGTTAAGCACTTATAATTACTAATAAAAAAATGCCTCTTACAATTTTGACTGAGGCAAAATTACTGCTGTTTTTTTCCGTGTATCTAGGAAGTCTGGAACAGCTCTCCCATTGGAGCAGGCGCAGCTTCTAACTCCACCTTTAAGAAATTAATACTGGTCTAAATTTATCATGCTGGAGGAACAGGAGGCAGTTAAAGGGGCTGTAGCTTGCCCCCATGAAACACCCAGTGCAGGGAACAAGCTGGGCACTACCAGACAGCCTCCCCCACTGCCATCGATACTGGAGGTTCATCCGCTCCACGAGTGCCACTTTGTCATGAAGACCCAGGGCTTTGTCCCATTGAAAAGGCCGTATTCATTGTACGGTGGGTACAACGTGCTATGGTTGGTTTTTCTTCTTCATTTTAAGTTCTTTAGGGCATGGGAGTGTTCGCATTTGTAGCATTTCCAAGATTAATCATTTGTTACTCCTAGCCCAGTCCTACTCGCCACACCAACAGTAGGACTGAAATACTGTGAGAAGGGCTGTCCTTCAGGTATTTCTGTTTTGTGAGCAGGAAAGGAAGCTGAAAATTTTGTGAGGCAGGTTCCTCTCATATCTGCAGCCCAAAAGATCATAAATCTTTCAGATATTGAAACATTTTGAAATTCATACACCCCTACTTTGCTTGGGTTTGCTTGCAGTCTATAAATGATTATGGATATTGGTATTATCTGGTAAACATTGTAACACGGAACGTGGAAGAATCATACCAGACAGCACTCCCAATCTCTGCCAGGTGGGGAATAAGCTATTAGACTTGCAAATAACATAACTGCCTCAAAACACCTCATGTATAAAACACCTGTAAACTATGCATCATTTTTCAATCTCATCTGAATCATTTCCTGTTACTTCCAATATAATCCAGGATTTCTCAATGGAAAACCTAACAGATTTATCATGGTGAGTAATTCTGCATTTTAAAACATGCTTCAGCATTACAAAATAAATTTTCATTCATGCAAAGGGAATCTGTCTTATATTCTTAAAATAAGGTCTGCCTAATATCCATTTAAACTTTTAGTTACGCAGTCTAACATGGATCAATTCTTATAATACTGGCTATTTACAAATATTATAGATGTTATGATACTGGTGATCACAGCTAGGACACATTTTGTCGACTCACATGGATATACAAAAATGCTTTGATGAACCCATGTTGAATTCCACTAAGATTGCACAGTTTTTCTCCTTCTGTTTTGTAAATATGATTTTTTTCTTTAGTTTTTGAAAGCCTGCTGGTGATCCTATTGCCATCATTAGGGAGCAGGACTGGAGCAAACATGACCATTTGTAGTTGGGACTGTAGTGCAAGGGAGCTTGAAAATTCTCAAAAATCAAGAGAATGGTTTTCCAGCATCTGTCTATAAGCTTGCAAAAAAAAAAAAAAACCAAAAAAAACCGCTTTGCTTATACCATTTAGATTTACTTTTCCCCTTGTTTTTAACTGGAGCGCCAGAGCCAGTTTTAGCACAAGAGCTTGAAACAACAGCTTGTGGATTGGTAGGTTTGATCTGCCAAGTGCTTTCTACCTTCATGTTACTTCGAATCTGCTGTTCTGCAGGGACTACCTTCGGCTAGGCTTCTGCCCTGAGGGTACTCTTCAGGAAGGGGCAAGGAATGACATCCAGGTACCTTGGATGCGTTACACAAGTGAAGATGTCCACAGAGTAGTGTTAAGCCACTTGCTCCTTTTGAAGCAAGAACTGACGCATGTTCTGAAGCACCATGGGAATTCTGCTTCTGGTTTGTGGTGGAAAAGTGAGATAGGAAGGGGAAAAGATGCAAGGCTTTGGAGCTGAGGTCCTGCTGCGGGGACATGTAGTGGAGGCTGCAGGAGACAGCAAGCAAAGGTGAAGATGTGGAGTAAGAGGATGAGGAGAGAGCAGCAGGGCTGGGGTTCTGCTGCAAGGATGTGACTATGGTGAGAGACAGGGAAATCTGTGTGCAGGACTGGGAACCCGCTCAGAGGGCGCGAGAAATGTTCGCGTGGCCAATGGCAGAGGGAATGCAGCTGGAGATGCGGAGCGGGATTTAACGGCACCAATGGGTGGGGTCGCAGTCAGGAGGAGGGACGGAGAAAGAGTGATTTTAAAGAACTGTTTAGCCACTTGCCTCTGATCCCATACTGTCCCCTTGTTAGTTGTATTAGCATATTATTATAAAGTAAAAAATGCTTGGAAAACTTAAAAGAGGCATTCTAGCGTTTGCATAAGAGCATTGGCTATGTTATACCAGAACTGAAACATCTTTCATAGAAATGTAACATTTTCTGCACTTTATAGTTTCCCCTATAGAAAAATTTTCATTAGCCATTCATTTTATTTCACGTGAGTGCGTCTGGCTGGGTAGTATGTATTAACACGAACCTGCGCTCATGCACCCTGTCACAGAATTATCTCTTAGAAAATAAGAACATCCTCTGCAATGCAGAGGGTGGAGCTGGCAGGACTGGGCATTTTTAGGAGATAATCCATCAGCTCAAACGTCACTTGTCACCACAGGTGCCCCAATTCAGGAGACGCACCCAGCGCTGGGAATGGAAAAGCTGACACGGGCATACGAAGCAGCGGGTTGATATCATCGGAGCAGGAAACCAGGAAGGCTGTTCTATTTAATCACTCAAATCGTTTCCAAACCCTCTCGGACCGGGTGTGGGGTGTGCGAGTATTTATTATGAGCATGTGCCTCAATCCTCAAAATATCTTCTTTGAAACAGCCTGGTGCTAACACACAACAGACCTTTTGATTTCTGTCAAAGACGGTTACAAAGTGCCTGTCAGTGAGTAGCTGTGGTGCGCACCGGCAGCGTGCTTGGACTGAAAATGTGCCTGGGAGTGAGCGGCATGTCCCAGCTAACTGGAGGTGAAAACACAAAGGCATGCTGGTTCTCAAAGCTCATCAGCATCAACCACGGCCCAGCTGTTGTGTCCCAATTCAAACCACATGCTGCAGTGAAATAGGACTCATCACATTTGCAAAGCGTTGCTGAAGGCGAACCTGATGGTGGCTGGGGCAGCTCGGATGCGAGATGCTATGGGAAGGGAGAACTCCTTCCAAAAATCCGTCTGTCAGGCGGAGGGAGGCTTGGCGATATCCTGGCTCTGCTGCAGCTGATGGCAAAAGTCCTGCTGTCGTCAAAGGGGTCAGCATTTCACCCTCCGCGTGCATCCTGTTGACACTGGGCCAGACTCTAAGGGCCGCTGAATTTTCTGATTACTTGGTATAAAACTTGCATTCAGTTACTTTCTTTAATTCCCTTCAATGTTCCTCCACTGCGCTCAGCTGCACACAGCCATTGGTTGCGATAGATGAACTAACCTTGAAGTCAATGGAAATTTTACTGGGGGCTGAAGGGAAGCGAGGACTCCACAAAACAAGTTTCTTTCCCAGCTAGTATCACATTTCTGAGACTAATCTAGTGGCTGAAGGCCATCAGTTTTCATTAATTTGACTGCAAGGCCTTTGAATGATGTGAACAAATTACAATGCATTAAGGCTCGTTGAGAGAAATCTTGTCATTCAAAGCGTGTGAATTTGCATGACTAATATATAACATAGGCCTACAAAGACATTATAGAGATGATTAGAAACAAATTTCTAGCTGATAGAATACGCTGTCATTTTAAAAGTATTCTTCATTCCAGACATAAGCAAAGGGATGTGTTTACATTTTTCTGTGGGAGTGTCCCCCAACATTTTGAATCACTGCACTTTTTCGCTTTGATGATGTCAAAATATTATAAAAACACAACTATTCATGTCTATATTTAGTGCAATGTTAAAACTTCGGCAACCTATTTTAAAACAAAATGATTAATAAAGGAGAAATGGAATACCTCATTATCCCTCAACAACTGCTGTGGAAATAGCTGCATTTCATAGAAATGTGTATTTTGAAGGAAAACTATTCCACTGAAAAGTTTTCAATCACCTCTAATTATAACAAACCAATTGTTACTTTGTCAGAAATAAATAACTTGGGCCATCGAAAATACAGACGCAGTAGAGCAAAGCAGTAACAAGTTTACAGCAACGATGAGGCAGCACTGTGTGAGAGTGGTTTTCTTACTAATGTAAACGGATTTCCACAAAGCCATGTGGTGCATGGAGAAGAAAAACACCACCAGAGGACTTACAGAGATGGAAGTTCACTACAAGAAAGGATAGGATGCACTTGCTTTTTTTAGTCTGGGCCACTTAAGGTTGGACAGGATCCCAACTAGCTTGACCCAGCCAGAGGGAATTCAGTGACTGCAAGACAGCATGGGCTGTGATGGAGGCAACAGCCTCGGTCCTCTCGTCTTCCAGATCAGGGGAGCTACTGCGAGGCGCAGCGAACCTCTCTCTACCCATCTGCCTGATCTGTCCTCCAGAGAAAACCAGCATGGACCCAGGCTGCATTTCCTTACGTGGGTGGGATGCTGACAAAGTGTGTGCCTACTAGGGCATCCAGTGAGAGTTCTGCATTTGCCAGTCCTACAGCACTGGGCTTTTGTTGTCTTTCTACATAGAATATAAATACATCTATGAACAAGTACACAGCGATCAAAGATAAAGACTACTAGATTTTCACAGCAACAAGTTCTCAAAGCAGGACTAAATATCATAGTAGGAAATCATGGGCTAACTCACTTACTTGGCAAAATTGTTTTATAGCGGTTTTTAGTTCCGTGACTCGGGATGTCAATTTCTTTGGGATCCACAAAATTCATTGGTATTTCCTATAAAAAATAAATTAAATCAGATTGGTGTTTCCAAAGGAGCCATGCAGGAAATTATCACCAGAAGGCCATCTGCTGTTACACAACTGTCTTTTGACATCAAAGTTATTAAGAAAAAAAGTGGTTCCCACCTCAAGCCTGTCAACACCCTTCCTTTAATAAACACAGGGAGTTGCATATTGAAGGGGTGACTTCCAAGGAACACTTCTGATGAATTATTAAAAGCAAAGTTTTTACAGGATTAGGAGAGAGGTTAAAATACACAATAGTTCTAGAAAAGTGGAGTTGAAAAGTGCACTACTATAGCAGAAAAGCGCAACATCTTACATAATTGGGGGAGGAACTTTCAAAATAATTAAATATTAATATATGGTAAACATTTTTTTAAAATTCTATGCACAGCCCTTAACCATGTCAGTCGAAGACCTTACTTGCTTTTTATAGAAACTACTAGAATGAAGTGCCTTAGTCTTCTGCATTCAGTGACTCAAAAGTGTAATAAAAATCTGAAGCTCTTGATTCTCATTTTGATCTTTTAGTGACTGACTCACATTGTCTTCTTTAAATATGCAGATGTGCAGGTAACTAATGTGACAGCTTGCTTGAAGTTCCAATAATAAACAAATGATAAACTCCCGATCAATTTAAGATTACTGTTTTTCAAATTGTTTGTCAGTATGAAAAGTAAAAATCCTCCAATTTTTCATTGACCAAAATGTTTCACTTGGTTTAAGAGGGGGAAGAATAATTTTGATTTTTGAGGTCCTGAAACATTGTTAGCATTCTTACAGTTGAATAAAAACAACCCTTTGGAAATGGCAAGATGAAACATGTAGGGGGTTTTTTTTCCTGATCGTGGGGGATGATTTACCAACCAAAACAATCTGGCAAAATCACATTTAAAAAATGGTTAGTTGACTCAGATCTTCAGTTTTCACTGTATTTTTTTGGCCAGCACTATTTAAATTATCTTAGGGTAAGCTGGACTTTGATCTTCAGTAAATGAATACTTCTACTTAAAAGCACAGTCATTACTAGAGACTTGAAAACTTCATTGCTAGCCTGGGACATTTATCCAAAGAGACAGCAGCCTATTAAATAATTACCTCTGACAGACACATAGGAACATGAGGAGACACAAAAGGTATGTTCCTACCCTATTCAGTGCAAACATCCTTTGACTTGCACCACTGGAAAATTTACTTAAGGATTTTCCTCCAAAATCAGCTGGTTTCTAACTCCACAGGCGCAGGCCTGCCCAGGACTTTGGCACAGATGAGATGCATGGCCACTGTCCTTCAGACCCAAGCTCTGGTCCTGCCCAGCATGACTTGCTGCTGCGGGATTTTTTTTTTTTTTTGAGGAACAGGGACAAGGCCCATAACAGCTTGCCAAGGATGTGCCCAACAGCAGATCTTTACATGGGTTCACCAAGCAGGGAAAGCTACCCTCTTACTTTTCTGGTTGAAGAGAAGGTAAAGATAAGTAGAATTTGGATGGGTCAATATGAATTGCTTTGATTCTTTTCTGCTTCCCTTCTTCTTTTCTGCTTTTCTTCTTCAGCTGACTCCTCAAAAGAATGACTCGCTGCCTCTAATTCAGGCTAGCCAAAGTGTTGCTGCTAAGATATACACCTTCCTTGCAGGTACTTCACCCAATCCTTTTTCAGCTCCCTGTACTGCCATCCATCTGATGGCTGAACTAAGCGCAGGATCTTCTCACTTGTAAGATTCCATTCCTGCATAAACCTCATCGTCATTCCTTCAGGTCAAACCATCTCACCTCTGTCCTGCTTCTGATGCCCCTGGAACTACAAAATGAGTTCCCACATCCCTCTTGTACCTACCTCTTACCTTCACCCCTTCCCAGTGGTGACCTCTGTGAGACTCTTCCCCTCAGCTTTTGGGCTCCAAATTGTCCTAAGTGGCTCTGGTATGGGCTGTTAGTGCCTTATGCTGGGCTACTGGCTGACCTAGAGGTTCCCTGGCTCAGTTCTGGCTTAGTATAAACACCAGCGGCGCATGGCTTCTGAAAGGTTTCCCTGCTCAACTATATACCTACTGAGACAGAGCAATACGTTAAGCCTTTCTTTAAAGTGATCTACAGCTGTCATCTACAGAGACTGGAAAAAGATGTGTGAGGAAGAGTTCTCTGCCTGCACAACAAGAGACGGTGGTCAGTGGGGCTCTTCCAGCCGCCTGGCTGTTTCCCTCTTGATGCCTGCTGAAATTTGAAAATAGTTCATTAGTTGGCGAGTTAGTGACAGATGGAGAAATGCCACCGAGTTGAAAGCAGAAATGTATTTCTCTGGGCCAAGAAGGTCAATTAATAATATTAATCACTTACATCCTGTAAACACTTTCTAGTCAGTGGGCTCCTCCCAGTAGTAAGTACTTGTGGGGCCAAGGGCACAGGCAGAAACCTGACAATACACTGTGGATCACAGCCACAGACAAGTCACTTACTCTGAAGCTGGCTGTGAAACACAAGCGATGATTCCAGAAAAAAATTCAGGATATCAGGGGTATAACATTTCTGCTAGTGTGGGGGAAAATAAGCCCAGCAGATTTTAAATGGCATGTATGTGTACAAACTAGCATACAAAGTCTGTAGCTATATAGTCAATATATAAAAATTTGTTTCATTAAACATAT